TCTTTCCCATTCTGACATTCAGTTTGAAGTCCAGGATCACACCCCTAAATGCATTGAAGCAACTGCCATGTGATTGGTTGATTAGATAATTGCATTAATAAGAAATTGAATGGGTGTTCCTCCTTTAGGTGAGTGTATGTGTGTATATATATATATATATATATATACATTATTTGTTCGAATTACATTATGTAATTTTTCCCCTTATTACTGTAATTACTACAGACTATTGAAGCAAACTGCTAATTTTCATTTAGCTTAAAGAATTGTTATGTTCTAAAAAATTAAATAAATTATGTGAAAAAATTCTCTTTTCTTTGAAGAAAATATTACTTCATATGAAGTCACTGAAATTGAAATTTTCTGTATTAATGTTTGATGCTAGTGTTTTTACTCTGTGTGTTATGAGTGACAGTGTTATCTCAGTGAGAGTTGTGCAGAGTGTTTGCAGGTGATGTGAACTGTTTAGTGTTGGTAGTGCAGATTTTAGTAAGAGTTTTGCACATGTAGTTCCAGTTATGCTGTCATTTTGAGAAAAAAATGTAATTCAATAATTCATGATGAAAAAGTTTATGCTCAAAATATTGTTGATTTACGTAACTATTGACAATAAGGTCAGAAACGGCTTGTAGGAGGCATGACAGAGAGGCAGGCAAATGGAAAACGTTAAGAGGATGATGTTAGTAGGACATGAAATTGTGAGTGCGGGACTCTTACTGTGCTTGTAAACAGCTTGTCCAGTGAGATCCTGATTATTCAGACTACTGAAATCAAGCCCGATGGCTCCAACAAACTGTGACCACAGGAGTGATGCCACATTCTAATGATATTTCTATTATTTCTGTGAGTGTGTGAGATTCTAGTCATCTGATGATTTCCCCAGTGAGTCAGAACACCAAACAACTTGTCTACTGTACGCTGATGCAACCCATGCTCAAGGAGCACCTTTCCTTTTCTTAAGGTAAAATAAAACTTATTCAATTCTACAATTTTTCACAGAGAGAGAGAGAGAGAGAAGAGAAAGTTATTGCAAGTAAAATAACTGCAGATCAAAGCAGAGCCCTTTCATTTTTCATTTTGGAGAAATTCCTTTCACTGCCATATACAAGCTGTGAATGACTTAACTGTCTGAAGATTTACTGGTATACTGTCAATTGCTTCTACCCTTCTATGATTATGATTCATTTATAGATTCTTCAATAATTGATTCAAGTGCAATAATTTAACAAATAATGAAACATTATTGATTATTTTAAGGACCGAGTATGACGTAGCACAATATTCAATTATTGTACATATAATTATGTGTGATTATTGACAATTTAAATAGTCATGTACCCAAATTATTGCATTAATGCTTCTCATACACTGTTTTGTCTAAGCGGTAGGGTATTCAAGCTTCACATTTTTCAATACATTTCTTCCCTAGGAATCAAACGCGTGACCATGATCCACCATTTGAGATACAGAAACACTAAAAAGCAAGGGGGAAGGAACTAGAGTGAGTGGACAGGCAGAAGGAATTGGACATCACCTGTCCTACAGCCAGTGAGCACACTTTGTTTGCTTGTGAGTAAAACAGAAGCCAAGTAGAACTGTGAATAGTAGGAAGTGAAGCTGGGCCTTCCTGTTTGTACAGCAGTTACCTTTTGCCCCTCAATACGCATTTGATCTAGCCTGGATGCCAGCCCGAACTCCACCCACAACATTTTTTGGTCTGGAAGTTCGGTCTGGACTCGATCCATTGAGGAGTAATTATGATCAGGCAAAAAATGAACGGGCCAATCAAATTGCCAGGGCGGGCTTTATACGATGATGGACAGATGATCTGCAGGGACGTAATCATCACGTTATCAAAGAGCGCTAAGATGACTGCTGCTGGAGAATTGAGATGTATAGATTCCACTGTTGCATCTTTTGTAAAATAAATCGACAGCGCATTCATTTTAATAGACAAACAGAGAACTGCAATCAAGGCATTTGTCGATCGGAAAGATATTTTTGGCGTCCTTCCTACATGATTCGGGAAAAGTGTAACTTATCAGCTGGCTCTGACGGTCGTTAAGAAGATGGGACATAATGAAAAGCCTGTGGTCGTTGTGGTTTCTCCTTTGGTGGCACTCATGGAGAAGTAAGTAAAAGAAGCAACACTCGTTATTTAACTTCTAAAATAAATAAAGTTAGGCTAAGTTCTGTATTTGAAAACTGCGCTATGCAAAGGAGTTGACTTACTGCGTTGCTCTGATTGGTTGTAGATCTACCGACTTTCCAATTGAGTGCAGAGGTTGTTTTTTTTCCTGGTTCAGATATGACACGCCTCATAATCAAAGCCCAACTGAGGAGTTTCAGACTCCTATTCTCTCTTGAATATGAGTATGACGAAGTCAGGCCACATTTGATCTGAATTTGAATCTGAAAAGTTTTACGTGACGTTTTTGGAGTTCCAGGTGATCACCGGGCGATCTGTGCTCATGTACCCTGCCTGGAACAGCTCACATGGGTACCGAAAAAAACTTAGCAAACGGACTATGTGTGAAAATGGCGTTACTCCGCTAAGTGCACTTTTAACAAGTGTCCGCTTCAAGGAAGACCGTAGGGCGTAGTGTAGGTATTGGGACAGGGCCTGAGTCTTCCGTCCAACTTAAGGGCTACTCCTGATGTATTGAGTTAGGCACAAGGATGAATGGCCTAATTAATTGCAAACTATATTTATTGTACATCTGTGTTCTATTGTATATATGGGCACAGGTGGCAAGTGGTCTGTTCTTTATGTAGATTATTCTCTCCCTGTGGAGACGGTCTGGTAGTGGTCAAGTTGTCTGGGAAACAAGTATATTGATATGTACTTAAAGTGACACTGTGAGTCATTTATGACAACAGTGTTTGCCTAGCTATACTCTAGGTGAAAAGACATTTAATTTCTTGGAAAGAAACCATATTCTGACGTAATTAGTCTCAAAGAGCTAGATGGTTCAAGAGAGAGGACATGTAATATACAGTTGTCATAGTCTCACTTTTCAGAGTTTGATTCTTTTCCTTTCTGCTTTATTTTCACATAATAATCCCAATATTTCTTCCTCCTTTTTCTCCACATTGTTGCTCTCATTCCTCTTCCTCTATATCTTTCTTTGACTTTCTCCCTGATGTGAATAATCATTAGGATTGTAGACAGTGGAATTGTCTTTGAATCTTTATCTAAGCAGCAGAGCGTCCCCTTCACTTTCCAGACCCTCTCTTTCTGAAATGAATAAAACATTGTGCTTTGGACAATAGTTTTGTTCAATATCATTGACTCACAAATGACAAATGGATTATCTATAAAATAGTAAATTCTTAAAGGTACACTATGCAACTTTTTTTGTTCACAGTATCAATCCTTCTTTCAAAATGTTATTTTCTTTGTCTTACCCTTCACTATGGTAAATCTATAATAAATGATTATATTTTAGACCTGCCAGGATGGTATTCTTGGAAAATTGCATGTCTCATGGTGTGGGAGTGGCATAGGTTAGTTGTCACAATGAGCGGGAAAGGTTGAGATGAAGCAGTTCAATCTAAAACCTCTGGAGAGGCACTCATTAAAAAAATGCTGAACAGAGGAGAGTCTGTTCGTCAGAATAAGCGCTGCTAGTTATGTTTTCACAAAAAAACTAGTGATGTTCTAACAAAAAAACGTTCGATCCCTGGAACAATTTGAATTGTAGCTACACTTCTAGCGTCCATTTTCTTTCTTTAACTTTATTTTTGCAAAACCACTCAATTGACGTCTGTCCATTTTTGATTTAGATTCCTTTTCTGTAGCCATGAAAAAAAATATATATATATATTTGTGCTGGACCAACTCAACTCTGACAGATTGGGGAGGTGGGAGTGATGGTGATAATACAGTCTTTATTTATTTATAATTTATTATTATTATTATTATTGTTAAATTAGTGTTCATAAACGAGTTATGTATGGTCTTTCAAGAATTTCAAAATATTTTTAAAGCTTGTGTCATGTGGTGCTCCCCTAGTGGTTGTGAATGGTTGGTGCCCCTGGGCATTGGCCCAAGTGACCTTATGGATAATCCATTGTAGACTACTTGCACTGTAGGAATCCATATGTTATGATCTTTAACATGCTCTGAACATAACAATTAACTGGTTAATTTGGCATCAGACAATCTCGCAGCTGTTCTTTAAGCATGCAGGGTAATTTGTTTTTGTTTTTTTGTCAGATCTTAAACTAATTAAGAATCTTTCTATACAGTAGCCTTAGATCAAAATAAATAAATACTGCATAATTGGAATGCACTGCCTTGGAAAAAAAGCTATATGATGAAAATATATAAAAAAATAAAATATAAAAATCAAAACTATATTAATTATTATATTCAATCTGTTAGAATAACACTGGTTTACATCTTTCGTTAATGACCACCATCTTTTCTCAGGACTAAATTCCTTTTATAAATGTCAGTTTGGGGCAAGTTGTCACATTTTAATAGCTACTCCTTGGCCAAAAAAAAAAATGTTCAATACATTAAGCAATTTCCAATTGTACATGTTGTTAACATCTGTTTGATTAATCATTCTGCATTTCATAACTAAATAATAATGAAAAGTTTGCTGAAAAGTCTATTTTTATTTATTTATTTATTTTTCAGGGCAAGAAAATTTAAACCGATTTTATTTACTTTATTAGGCAGAAATTGACCTTCAAACAATAATCCTAATCTGAAAAATAGGCTAAATGTTTTAGAGCAAGTGCTAGTAAAAAATGTAGCCTACTTTTTTTTTTTTAATGCAACTTTATCATAACTTTGCAAGCATGTTTTTGCTGTTGTAAAAGCTAGTGTTTCATTCAGACAATCCTCTTCACCAGTTCTGTGCAGTTTGGTGCGGTCTGAATGGCTAAACGAACGCTCTGCCACCTGCTGGTGCGTCACTGACACTCTAGCCAATCACGCTCACGCGCCGGGAGAAGCCTTCCTCTTGTGCGCTCTGGGAGATCCAGTGGCCGGGCAATTAGTGACCAGAGTGATACGGGAACCGATACACAAATATCTGAACGGTCGAGGACAAGCCGTGCATTTCTGGAGAACTAGAAGAGACGTGCTCTTCTAGTGGATCTACCAAAAAGCAGAGGTCTGACAAGTTAATTCCTCTGAGCATCTTTGCCTTTCAGTGAACTCCAGCTAGTAAGGTAAGCAG